CTCTTGTGTTTGTTTATCTTGTTCCCGAATGAGAGGATAGACCCTCCATTTAGGAAATTGTTGGAAGAGAGAGTCGTCTAGAAACAGCACTCTGACTCCTTGATCACCAAACACAAGAACCATTCAGGTAAAATTCATAAGAAATCATGATTGATTTGTGTGGTCCAACTTGAGTGTAATTTGGGTCTTCATCTATCAACTTTCAATTATTTAATATGACGTGAAAACCGAGATTAGTAATTGGAAGCTGAACGAGTTCATTGGTACGAAATTGCATGAATTCAATTTAGAAATTACGATGGGATGAAATTCATATTAAAACTTGTAATTGAATTGAGTTTATTCGGGATGAAACATCGAGGGGGAAACTATTCCAAACAACTTTTCCAAACCATTGTCTATCTAAATCAATTAGTTCATTATACACTAGATCACTAATACTTGAGTAAGGCAACAGAAAAGACCCTAGGGAAATACAACTTCAGTAAGTTTCACTTTCTGCATTATCTTTGCATGCACTTTTAGCAACATCAATGAGGATATTATCTTCTTGCATTAGGCCTCCGTAGAAGGTTTCAATCTGGAACTGTTCTTCAAACCCGTGGTGAGGGCACTGAAAAAAGCAATCGGAGTACCTCTCCCAAGCATCCCTTAAGGTCTCGTCCTCTTCTTGCTCGAAACGTCTAATCTTTTTTCTCCACTCCGCCGTCTTCGAAGGCGGGCAATAACGAGCCATAAACTTGTTGAGGAGTTCGTCCCATGAGGTGATAGACCGAGGTGGGCGGTTGTTTAGCCACCTAAGTGCCTCCCCCGAGAGTGAGTAAGGGAACTACCTTAGTTGCAAAGCTTCGACCGACACACCATTAATTTTCAAACTCCCCGCGAGCTCCAAGAATCTCTACACGTGCTCTCTTGGTGACTCGCTCTCAAGGCCGTGGAAGAGAGCATTACTTTGTATTATAGTCACTAGAGTCGGCTTGATCTCGAAATTGTTTGCCGCCACTAGAGGATGTAGGATTGGCGATTGGATGTTCGCCGTCCTTGGGGCCATATAGTACCCCATCGTCCTCGGGGCATCCTCTTCCTCCGCCGCATCGTTCAACTGGCGGGCTTGAGCGGCATCATGCCTTTGGTTCCCCACCATTTCCACTTCGATGACGAGTTTAATTTCCACTTCTTCAACTACTTCTCCACTAACACCGGGACCCAAACTTTGTCCCCCTCTTTCACTTCTTCTCCTTGCCTCTGCTAGCTCTCTCTCTCTCTCTCTCTCTCGTGCTAGGAGTCGGAGAGTTCGATTTATGTCCTCATCAAGTGGTAGCAAAGGTTCTGGGTTGCTCCGGGTCATGTACCACCTACACACAATCGGAAAACACACCAAGTCTAGCACAAGCAAAGAACACACACTTGCAAAACTGGAAATTAAAAGCTAGATTAACAACCAACAAAATTTTCAAGATAACAAACCGTTGTCCCCGGCAACGGCGCCAAATATTTGACTCGCACGAAACTACACCACAATAAAATCCCAACTAGAGCCCTAGTTTTTAAACTCTAGCCGGGTGCAGTATAAGGCAAATATTTAGATATCGACTCAGGCCGGTCCGTCTACCCCTACTTCGGTTGTTGAAATCATTATCTAGAAACAAAATTTTGGTTTAAAGGTTTTCTTATTGAAATAAAAGAAAGCAAAGGTAAATGGTTTTGGAAACTCTTTTGCGGAAGGATCTCTCGGGTGTCGCTTTCCCCTAACCGCTACCATAATATGTGAATTGGAACGACTGCTTTGGGCACGGTAATTGTGAACCGCAGAGGGATGCATATATGGTTTGAGACCACAATCTCAATTGCTAAACCGAGGTAAGCATGAAAGGCCGTGTCACTCGACCCTCTCGGTTTAGACAATCGGTAATAGACTTACTCCCTCACTAAACTCAAAGGACAGACAGTTTGATCGCAATTAACTGATTTGCTCAAGTTAACATTGAGGGTTCCCCTAACTTAACCTAGTTAGGTGGCTTAGAAAGCGGAAGGAAAACCAACTCGATTGAGTTTCCCTTGGAAGGGGGATTTTCCTCTCTAAGCTAGGCAAAGGTGGCTAATTAGATTGCTAGCACCAACATGCACAAACCTAAGGGTGCTAAGCACAATTATTCATAATCCTTAGGTTGCTAAGCACCTAAATGCACAAACCTAAGGATGCTAAGCACAAAACACGCTATGTTGCTAAGCACAAGCATACACAATCAGGATAAATAATGCCTTAATCATTGAATTGAATAATACCCAATGACAATCATCCAATACACATAAAAGAAAACTACATGGTAGAGTTAAGGTTTCACAACACCCAAGTGAAAAGGAGGTCTACTCCATGCTAGAAGTGGGGATAACAAAAAGGAAAGAGGTGGAAACCATCTTGGAGGATGCTCCTAGTCTTCTTGGCCCTTGAGTTGAGCTTTCCTTGAAGGATATCTTCCCAAAATCTTCCTTGAAGGTACACCCTAGCCTTCTTCTCTCTTTGGTTCGTGTTTCTCTCTAGAATGTTGAAGAAGGCTTTTCACACAAAATGGGCTCCTCCCTCTCTCCTCCTTTCAGCTCATCATTTAAACTAGAGACGAGCTGAGTTCACAGCCTGAGCTCACGGTCGTGAACCACGAAACGCGTCCGTGAACTTCAGGCGTGCGCCAAAGCGCGCCGCATCGTTCACTTCTGTTCACTGTCAACTTCCTTTGTTCACGGTCTTATAGACCGTGAACTCACCATGCGTCAATAACCTTATTTTTGGCTCTGAACGCCTCGTGATTCACGGTCAAGGGCTCTTCTTCATGGTCTTGCATGACCGTGAACTTCCTGGGAAAGCCATGAACTGGCCCTTTTTCACCTCTTCTCCCGGTTTTTGATCCTTTTCGCCCAACTTTCGACTCCGAGGCTGGCTTCACCTGTTGAATCATGAAACACACTAAAACACGGGGAACCTAGCGTAAAACCAACCTTTTAGGAGTGAAATTGGCACCAACACCTAAGTAAAACGAGGGCAAAACATGTACAATTAGGTCTGAATCAATATGTAATCATTCTACACCATAAAAATATTTTATAACTAATTAAAATTTCAAACGAATAAACCGAGGTGAAAGATATCAAAATTCACAAATGTTGTTTGAATTTTAATAAAATGTGAATTACTTCAAAATATATCTAGTTTTTTTCACGACATTTATTGAAATAGGCTAAAAAGGTTATAAACGAATGCACCCATAATATGTTATTCTATTAAAATTGTACACAAGAAAAAGGATCACGTGAATCATAGCTATATTAAATTTATGTTGAAACTTTAAGCCGAAAAATGCATTATATTAGGGAGACCATGAGAGAAAAACATGAAAAATTTCTAATTTTCTCCGAAGTATGGCTATATACGACATAAATATTTTTTGGAGGCGAACTTCTACCAATAATTGGAACACGGATTGGGTCGGGTTCTACGGGTTGTGTAATCTAAAATCCAAACCCAACCCAACCCAAAAGAGGCGGGTTGTACAAAAGAAAACCCGCATCCAATCCAAAACCTTCATTTTAGCTATAAATACAGGTGGGTTTAGTCGGGTTGGACGTGTGGGTCGGTTTACGGATGTGTTTGTTCACCCAAGCTGAGTAGGGTTATTGCGTTCAATTATTTACATATTCTATGTTTGGCCAGGCTTTTAGAAGTGATTTTCGGCTTCAAAAGCTTAAGCAGGGCCAAACACCTCTAAAAGCTCAGTTTTTGAAAAGCCGAAAAGCGCTTTTGTATAACATAAAAGCAGAAGCTCTGATTTGGAGCTTCTGCGAAAAACTGTTTTGAAAATACAAGATTATCTTTACCGTATTTTAATTTTATTTCAGAAAATATAAATTTTCTTCATTTATATCATTTTAAAAATAAAATAAATTATAAAATCATATTATTTAATATAAAAGAAATCTAACAAGATCCATTTTTACTACTTTTTATTGTTTAGAATTTTTATTCATATCTTATATTATAAGTCCTTTATAGTCATTTTACGCAACCGCTCATATTAAAAAACACTTCTAATAGTTTTACAGTCAAACACTAAACTGCTTTTTTTTAAAGTACTTATCTAAAAATTCCAGCCAGAAACTGCTTCTGCAAAAACTACAACTACAGCAGGACCAAACTATGCGTTTGCCTTCGCTCTCGATTGAGCCAAGGGCGGGCGAAAACAAACGGGTTAAGGCTGGCTCCAACCCAAGGAGCTAAAATGCTAAAAAGCCAAATTTGGCTCTTTTTCAAGCTCCAACCCACAAAAAAATGGGAAGCAAAAAATGGGTATTGGGATTTTGGAAGGGAAATTTGGCTGGGTTTTGGGGAGGGGGGTGATATTTGGCTGCCAAAAAGTGGGTTTGTTTGTCAGATGCGGAGAAGGGCGCCGGACGCGCGCCTGGGGCGCCCTTCTCCGCAGCTGACGTGCTGTTACTTTTTTTTTTTTCTTTTAACTTTTGTAGTGAGAGAATTTGTTTTGCCAATTTGTTTTGGATTTTTTTTTTCTATTCTCATTGGTTGTTTGTGATTCAATTTGAAATAATTGATGTAGTGACGAAAAAATAGTCATATTTTAACGGCCATAAAAAACGGTCATATTTTAACGACTAATTTTTGAAAAAAAAATTATCTCGGAATTTAAAAAAAATTACATCGAAAAATTTGTATTCAAAACTAATAACGAGTTATGAAAAAATTAAAGTGAAATATAAAGTTTAGAGGTCAAATAAGTATGGCTTATTGAAATAAATTGAAAAATGGAAATGGGAAGCTAAATTTAGCTTTTTATAGGGTTGGAGTGAAAAGTGGGTTTGGGGAGCTAAAAAGCCATATTTGGCCATTTGGGGAGCTAAATTCCTTTTTATGGGTTGGAGTTAGTCTAAGTGATAGAACTCGGGGAGCCGCATGTAGTGTTGTATAAATTCCACTGAGAAAGGGGTTTGAAGGCTTCCCCTAAAACCCTAGAAACTCCATGACGCCCATTTCGAAATCTCTCTGCACCATTCTTTGCCGCCGTTTCAGCTCCCTCCCGAAGACGACGACCCTCTCTAAAATCCCTCAGAAGCACCGGCGGCGGGCGGTCAAAGAAGCTCAACAAGTTCTCACAGAATATCTCCACGCCACCAAGTCTCTTCCTTTCACCTATGCGGAGCACATTAGCAAGAACTCCACCGTCTCCCTCTCCAATCTCATGGCCAACGTCGAGTACTCTGCATCTGACTTCTCTAAGTCCCTGCGCAAGTTCCTCAGGTACCACCCAATTAACGAGCTCGAGTTCTTCTACGAAAGCCTTGGCATTGGCTACGATGAGGTTCGCGGGTTTCTGCCCGCGGATAAGTTCTTCTTCTCTGAGGATGGCAGTGCTTTGGCAGTTGCTTGCGGGCTTTCTGGTTTTGGGTTTCCGTGGAACAAGTTGGGCAAGCTGTACAAAGAGGAAGGTGCTATTTTTACCAAGTCGCCTGAGGAGATTACATCGAGGCTGCACGGTTTCAAGGATTACGGGTTTGGTAATACTTCCGTGATTGGTATCTGTTTGGCTTTCCCTTTTGTCCTGAATGGTCAACCGGTTGAGGAGATTGATGCTTTGTTTAAAGATTTGAAGATGCTTTTCATGGATTTTGATTTAGCCAGCCACGTTGAAGGAAATTTGGATGCTTGGTACGAGATGTGTAGAAAACTTAAGGTGTTCTATGATTTAGGCTGTGAGAAGGGAAGGGTCGGTGATTTGATGGGCAGGAGTAAAAAGTTTTTTATAGATGTGCAAGAACAAGTTTTGGCAGACAAGATACGGTTTTTTACTAGGCTTGGTGTTGGAAAGATGGATGTGGCTTTGTTGCTTCTGGAAAAACCAGAACTCTTGGTTTTCGACCTAGGGGCACGAATGTTTTCCATCATGGGATTGTTGAGACATTTTGGATTGAGTACCCTACAACTGGCTTTTGTTTCTGAACAGTATCCGCATGCATTGGGAAGGAACAAAATGGCCAATCTCCCTCATGTGATGCGAGCCATGGATTTGCATACTTGGTTTTTTGACAGGCTGAAAAATGGAGATCATCACTTGTTGGGTAGTTATGCTATGACTGATCCAGCTGAAGATTTGGATAAAGAGTTTGCTGATGGCTTGGAGAGGATCAAAGTGTCGAGAACACCTGTGCATACCATGAGTAAATTGGATTTCCTGCATGGAATTGGGTTCGGGGAGAATTCCTTGACGATGGAAGTTATAACTTTTGTGCACGGTACAAAAATTGAGCTGCAGGAGCGATTCGATTGCCTACTAAATGCAGGGATTGAATTCCCCAAGCTTTGCCAGATTATCAGAATCATGCCAAAGATTCTGAACCAAAACCCTGAAATAATTGAACAGAAACTTAACTACCTCTGCAATGAGATGGGGAGCTCTTTGCAGTATCTTGATGCTTTCCCTGCATTTTTGAACTTCAACTTAGAGAAGCGGATTAAACCAAGATTCAGATTCCACATGTGGCTCATGGAAAAGGGTTTGGGTTCCAAAAACTATTCTATTGCGAGTATAGTTGCAACCAGTGAGAAGAATTTCATACATCGTTTACATGGAATTCACCCAGCCGTTCCAAAGTATTGGTTCGAGCATTCTACAGCCAATGAACTTGCTAACATCTGAAATATATAAGAAAAGGTATGTATGTAATGGGCGTAGGAATTCATTTTTTTATATTTAAGTGCCATGGATATACACGGATGTTTGTGGAATGGTACTTCTCTTCCAGATTATTTGGATATTGGTATTGACTTGTACTATATACTGTAACTAGCATGGCCTAAAGAGCTGCTGTTATAATCTTGTTTAAGTAGATATTTTGACATTTGGTAATTGTGAGTGGTGGTCTTTTTAGTATGGATATTTTGCACCTTAAAGAAGTACCAGCTACACACATTTCTGTAACTTGAGAAACAGACGAAGATTTTACTTAATAGTGTGCACTGCTGATAAAGGAAAAGTAGAACAGGATCTCTCTCTCTCTCTCTCTGCACATTGGATATATTTTTCTTTTAGGTACATTTTACTCTTGAAGCTAGATTCTTTGAAGGAAGCCGTTGAAGCACGTCTCATTGTTTGGTGAATGAAGAGATAAATTATGTCCATTCAGGTGACGTAGTAAAACAGTGGGTTAATCAGCTTGTACTTCTTACGGTTGGCACCCCACTGGATACGGATTCTCATTCCATAGTCAGGTCTGAACTTTCTATTTCTGCAGCCCATTTTTCCAACTTTTAACTATAATTGTCTTACGCTTTTATGCTAGTCGATTACATATAACCGTCTCCTGTTTTCATTGGTTTTCTTGGCTGCTATGGCTTCTCTACTCTTTAAGAATGGGCTCTTAACAGCCGAGTTTCCATTTCTGGGAATTCAAGCTTCTATGCATCTGAAGTCCAGGCCTTGCTTTCTGCAGACAACAGCAGTTGACAGAGCAGAACCCTCTCCAATTGTGGCTGCTACTGTGGTTTTGGAAATTCGCCCATTGTTTGTCCATTGCTATGCATCTGGATGGTGCTGGAGATCATGCTGCTGAGTTGACCATTCTGATTTTACCTTGTCATTTCCATACTGAAATGGGTATGGAAAGCTTAAAGCTGGTTACATATGATTTGGCACTGGCAAAGACCAATGATTATGCAGCAGCTGGATATGCAGAGTTACGCAAATGGCTTTTGTATATTGGAAGTCGCCTAAACTGTCAGTATCAGGGATCCTCTTATTCATTCTCCTTCCTGTCTAAACAAAGGATTGGAAGGGGAAAACTCAAGAGTTTAATTCTATTCTATTCTTTTAGTATATAAAAGCTGGTTACGTTTTTTTCTCTCTCTCGTAATATCTAAATCTAAAAAATATTAAAGCATTTTCAGATTCCCACCCCATCCGAGTAAGCCTTCCTCAACGCACAATTATCCACGTCAGCCCTTTAAAAGTTTCCTTCCATCTCTTTCACGAGAAAAGAAACCAGTACCCCATCCCTTTTCCCCTTAACTAAACCCCAAAAGTTCCTTTCTCCCCAAATCAACAACGATTCATCCCCAGATTTCACTTTCCCTTCCGCGACCGTTACCAATAACTACCCCCTCATCCAACCCTTCAATTTCACGGTCTTGGCAAAGGCGCTCAGATTGTCCGCCATCGACACGATGGTTGGCGGCACATCAGCGGCATAAAGAACGACCGGATGGCGGTAATGAAGCGACACAGGAGCAGGCAGTAGAGCATGTGTCGACAGAGGAAGAGGAGGAATAAATTGCGATTCAGAATCGCAAGGTGGAAATACTCCCACCGAAAAGGGTTCCCGGCAAACCGTATTCTGGTGGATATACTCACAGAAATCAGAAGGATTTATGTACAAAACAGAGGACGTAGTGATGTTGCATGGTTTCGGTGGATTGATCTACTACATGGACATAGGATTCTAAGACACCCTATGTGACTCGGGTTACAACGGCGAGGACCTGCTGGTGGTGGACGTGGCCTGGACTTGGATCATGAAATTCTCTTATTTGAACTTCACGACGCAGGGGACTTTGGTAAAACCTCATTCAATATTGCATCAACCTAGCCAATCAATATATGCCTACTTAATTCTTCCTTTTCCTATGTTCTATTGAATCTCCTTTTCCAGGTTGGAAATTTGGGATTAATAGAGAGTTTCTTTTCACTTCCAGAGGCAATTATGTTGATGTTTATTTTTTCATTGCTCCATAATCCAATATATCAATCCATTTTATGATTTTTTTTACCCTTCCAACCCCAATGACCTTAAATTGCTTTTCTAATTTTGTTGGGCAAAGTAGTTTTTCTTTCTACAGAGTTTGTTCATTGTTGTATGACTCAAATAGGTTATGTTGGAAGAATTTATGACTGCTGTCTATACTGCACTTCCTAACAAGGGTGAATGGGTGATGGCTCATTCTTTCAGTTTCTCCTTTTGCTTCTTTGATCTAATTTCATGTGAATGTGATAGTGCCATAGTGGCACCAAGCAATAGGACATATGTCCCTACTAGGATTACTTATGCTTGCCTTTTGTTCCTGATCCGTAGTACACTAGAGCTTGATCTTCATACATATATACTGACTTAGCATTTCACTAAGGCTTTTATAATTTGATCAATAAAGCCAGTTTATACCAATAAATCACTAGGACAAACCAAACAAGTAATTCCTTTTTATTAACTTAGAGGAACCATTGTCCATCTTTGTTTTACAGATTTTGTTTGAATGCATACTCATATGCACCCTCAAATGGGCAGAAAAGCTAAAGAGATTGATGGTATCGGACTATCCCACAAACAAAACACAAAAACTTTGTTGTGGTTTCTTAGCCTCATAGTAAGTTCTAGATTATATTTGAGTTTTAACATGTATGGTGTATCTGTTATAGTCATCTTCAATGGGTGTTTTGTGAGGAAAATTGGTCGTATTTTAACGGTTGAGTATAACAGGGGATATTAATGTTACAAAAAAATGAGTAGGTCAACCAATAATGAAAGCCAACTCCCATATGTAACAACAAACCAATAATAGATACCTCTAATTTTTTTTATTATAAGTACACGAGATTCGACATTTTAGGCTACTACATGAACTTTAAAACAGTATTGACTAATGACATATTTGCAGGTTTAGCCGATCCACGTGATGGCAGCAACCGCAAAGGCCCCTCAAACCAGAGTAAAAAAGGAGATGTCAAGCCTAGCCATACCATCCCTTCACTCAAAGTTGTCAAGAGATAACCAGGATTGCAAATGCTCGCTTGAGGCAACACCGAGAAGCTACTGGCCACCACATCATTGCAAATTCAAGAAACAACATAAACAAACAAGAAGCTCATAACTACTTCATCCCTTTCCAATTCCAAATGACCAAATCAACAATTGTTGCATCTTTCAATTGTGAACATTGTCATCAAACCCCAAAACACTACTGCTATGTTAACATAACTTCATATTATTCATTAGATTATGTTTGTGAACCACAACTGCCCCAAATTACTATATTTGGATAATGATATATTATGTTTGAGTGCGTTGTAATTTAAGCTGATTATATCAAATTTCGCAAAGACATAAGGAAAGAGCAGAAAATAAATGGCACAATGGACTAAGACAATAATAAACCCGGCCAAAGGCCGGGCAAAAAGCTAGTATAATATATATAAAACATAAAGAGTGGGTACGCTTTTTTTCTCCTCTACTGTTTCATTTTCTGTCTTCTAGCGGGTTTTGGAGCACTTTTGCGAAAGAGTTTCCCAATTCCACACATAAAAGACCTTCTCTGACTCTACTGTACAATTCAACATGCTTTTCCACTCTACTCCTCTAACCACTCAACTGTGCTTCTCCACCCTACCTCTTCTTCTCTCACGAACTTGCCCCAAATTCCGTATTCTCACTTACCTCCTCAATTATCTGACTTCCTCTCACAACTCTTGATTGCTTCTCAATATTGTGAAGAAACCAATCCTACTTAAACACTTCATCGCCCATATGCTTTTTCTGGATGGGCCAACAAGAATGAGGGAGGAATGAGGACAACAAAAAGGATGGGCCAACAAGAATGAGGGAGGAATGAGGACAACAAAAATCCTCCTCTCTCTCTCTCTCTCTCTCTCTCTCTCTCTGTGTCTCAAAAGAGGAAAAACAGCTCCCCTAATAAGAGAAGCGGCAGGGTGGAGTAAATGGCGGTGCAGATTGAATCCAGTGGTGGAGCGAGGGAAGAAAGTTGATGTCAAAAAGTCTATAGCTCTTGGTAGATGCCTCCGATGCGCTCGCAGCTGTTACTTCCGGAAGAGCGGCTGAAATTTTCTTCTTGGTGAGCGGCGATTTCATGCTCGGGCGGTTTATCGCTTTTTCACTTCCACTTTTGCTCATCTCTGCTTCTTCTTGCCAACAACAAATGTTTGGATTCTCGCTAAAAATTCCTCTGCTGCAGCATTTTTAATCAAGGTGGAGGAAAAGTATTGCCCACAGATTTGGAGGTAGAGGAGATCGATAAGGTGAGGTCGAAAGAAGCGAACCTGAAAGCGAGGTCGAAGGTGTGGAAATGATAACATTCTCATGTTATTAATCATGTTGCTTTAGTTAACAGATATGGTCTCGATATTTAATGGATTCCACCCTACCCTCTGTTGTTCATGGATCCCAAGCTACCATCAGCTCTTTCCAGCCACTCCACTGGCCCTAGCTCTCCGGTAATTGAAAACTGACTATCCTCTCGCCATTTCACTTCACTGTCACTAGATCTGAACGTTCTGAATCTAGGTTTTGTTTACTTATGAGTTTTGAGGTTTATGAAAATTTGGACACAAGAGTAGCTTGCTGAAAAATTCAGGCTTTGATTGACAAATTTTCATATTACATAAACTAGGTATCTGGGATGATATATCCTTCCTCAAATTGAAGGAACTTAGAATACAGTTAAAAAATGGGATTTATTTGGATGTTTGATATGTACGGAGAAATGCCATTTCCTTCTTTTGTATGCTTATGACTCTTGAGCTTTATGAGATTTGAAGAGGCAGCTGAAAGATTCTGGAATTGATTTAAGAATTGTTGAAATTAGACAAACTATGCATATGGGTTGAAGTATGGTTCAAGGTTGCTAGGTAGTTTGATATATATCTCTGCGGCTTTTCTCTACAATTGATGATGGCAATGAACATACCATACTTTTAATTTGATGAAAAATTATTAGTCTTTTTGTTTTTTTAATCAAACTTATAATAAGCTTGGTTCATAGGTTGAAGTGAGAGAAGCTTGACCTCTCCTCATATCCACCAATTCATTTTATCCATAGAGTATTCATTCTCAATCACTGACACCTTTTCTACTTCTTCATCTTTGGCTAGTTGGGTATTGGTTGACACCCCTTCTATATGTTGAAGAAGTCATTTAGATTCATGATTCAAACATGCACAACAAAAAATCTCCTATATGTTGAAGAAGTCATTTAGATTCATGATTCAAACATGCACAACAAAAAATGACAAACAAAAAAAAAGGTAAATTAACAAACTAATCCATTTTCTAATAATCTAGATGTTCCCTACCGAATGCGCCAAATATTTGAATGTGTCGGAAACATAGATTTTGGACCTCTTTTGTCGTTTTTCGGATTTGGTGGCCGTTTGGTTTGGTTTTGGATATTTTGGATGTTTTGGGGCATTTGGGAGATAGGAATTATTATTATGTGATTGGTGGGATAATACTCATTAAGAAATAACCTAATAATTCCCTAAACCCTACTACCTCTCTCTCTTCCTCTCCCTAGTCGAAATTTCCCTCTCTCCTCTTCTCCTTGTCGGCGGCCTCCTCCTCTCACAGGAGACCAAGTTCTTCCTTTCTTCTTCCTCAAGTTCCACCATATTCACCTCTTCTTTTCGAACTATTGGTCCTCGTGTGAACCATAGACGTAGCGCCTTGATCCATACTTATTTCAGCGGTATCAAAATCTAGTTGGCGCGAGGTTCGGAAAAGATGTATGACAAATCACAATCGCAGAAGAATCCCAGAAACACTATCAAGACATTTAGCAATTGGATTACCTTATTGTTTGTTCGATCAAACAAATCGAAATCGTGAGAAGGGCCATAAGGTATATGAAACCTTCCAAACAATCTCGAACACGTGGAAGAGGCCAACCGATATCGTCGATGCTTGCCACAACTAGACACGTTCTCTAGTTGATAAGAGACCACTAAAATTTTCCGAATCCTCAAAAGAGAGATTAAGCAAAATCGATCACAATTGAACTCTCCCTTTGAGGCCAATTTCATTCTCCTCTTGATCCACAAAGCTGAATAGTGTGATGACTTTCCTTCTAGCAAATCCAAGCTCATGCCTTCCAACTCCTTAGCCTAATAACTCGTAATTTGCTCTCGAAATGCTTTAGCTCTAACACTTGTCATTAGTCCCTCATCTTGAGCATGCTTAGTCTTGATGACCTCATCACATATCATATTTTGGATGTAACTTCTAGCAGCTAAAGTATTTAAATGGTTTGGGTAACGACTTTAATCTTTCATCTGCCAATATCAGAGAGCCACAATGATCTGACAATCCGGGAGGAAGAATTTTCACACAGATGTGTGTGTCCTTGGTCAACCATTTATAGTTCAGCAAAACTCTACCAAGAGATTTAGCTATTGGATTACCTTGTTGTTTGTTTGTCTAGGTGAGCCAAGAGCCAACAACCTAATGATCAGTTAACTGGAGATCATCTATCCACTTCTGACAAATGCGTAAGCTGTCTCCAAGTTCAACACTATTTGATGCCTCATTTTCATTGATTATAGCATTAAAATCACCCACAATGAACCATGGACCAGAACACTGCACCTTCTTTTTAATCTTCATACATGAAACACCTTCTCTGTGTATAATTGGAAGCTTACACAAAAGTCAGAAACATTGGTTCCACATAGAGGTGGCAATTGGATCGGATTCGTGGATTGGATTGGTGGATCCATGGATCAAATGGATTTGATCCAATGGATTGGTGGATTCATAGATTGGATCAAATGGATTGGTGGATTGATCCATGAATCCAAATGACATCCAAGACTTGGACCAAAATGTAAATTTTGAAAAGTTTAGGAACTAAAATGTTATGATGGAAAAATTTAGGTACCAAAATGTAATTTTCCAATGATTTTTTTCGTATAAAAATATAAAATTTAGGTACCAAAATGTAAATTATAAAAAATATAGGTACCAAATCGTAATTTGCCATTTGGATCCATGGATTGATCCATGAATCCACCAATCCAACTGGATTTGGATCAAATGGATTGGATTTAAATGGATTGAATTAACTGGATAATTAGGTGGATGGATTTGATTGGATTCATGGATTTGAATCCTAATTGCCACCTCTAGTTCCACACCATGCAAACTCCCATGAACAAATTGACACTTGCTTCAAGTACTGTGAACTTCAGTTCCTTCCTCCACAAAAAGCAAATACGACCAACTTGAGTAAAATAATAAGTATCAGCCAACTGCCAACATCCACCTTGTATCTACTAATTGCCTCTACTATAGCATCTTGCTTGCTAGGGTTATTGAACCTGCGCATATTCCATGTTAAAGACTATCATTTAACGATTAACCTTTGCCTTAGGAGGGCTATCAGGACCTTTCCTAATTTTCTTTTGTTGTGCTAAAGGGGTTCTTGACAGCTCTGGAAACTCTACTGGATTTTTTGAGAGGTGAAACTACAACTGAACCAATCTCAAACTCCCCCAAAGATTGCAGGGCTGCAAACGAATTGGCACCATTTGACAGGCCTTCTACTTCTCCCTCCTGAGCTGTCACAACATTCTGGAATTCCCCATCAGTTGGGAGACGCACAGCCTCAGAAGGCCAATTTCACTACTAGAGCTAACACCCTCCATTGAAGAGACTATGTTAGCTATTGCAGCATTGAGCCTCGCTTCATTTCAGTGTTATCCTTCAGTTTCTGCTTATTTGCATGACTTGCAGGCAGTGTTGCCATCGCGCGATACATTCCTCCAGCTCCGCCGAGATCCAAATCCCATCATCCCACTATATCCGGCTCAACTTACACCAAACTATTCTCTTCCGCAATTCCGAACAAATCCGTCCAACACCTACCTCCCTTGGCTAGTTGTAGTAACCAGAAGCCCCTCCCGGGACCGTCAAGACTCAATTCCGATCAATCACCGGGATGGGGAAACAGGATGGTAATATTATTATTTTTTTGATAATGGGGTGGGGCTTGTTAATCGTTTGGACAAAAAGAATGATTTGAGTTCTTGGTTGAACCTACTAGACTGACTCGATTCGAACGAGATTGCAAAGAAATGGAGTCTGTTTCAACTGAAACCAATGTTCCGTTTCGGCAGTATTAATAAAAATTCGAGGGGAAGAAGCAAAGAGCGACAGGAGTAGTGTTCAAACTTCAAATTGAGTTGAAGCTGCAGAAATTATTTCTGCATTTTTATTTCTATGTCAAATTTGGGCATTGTAATAATAATTATCAATCTTTCTGTCATGTAAAAAGGACAGACATACATTCATTCCATGAAATATGTTGAGACCATGATTCAAAGAACCCATGCAAAAACAACAAACAAAAGATTCCCACCTAGCTACCAATATCAAAACTGTAGCTTGTAACCAATTTAAATTTATGAACAAATTCCAAAAGCGACTGACCGCGCAGGATGTACTATTGATGAATAATGAAGCCATTCCATGATCAGTAATACTATGATGGCTCAAGGATTTGCAACCTTGGGCCAGTTAGCTCATGCTGGAACTGGTGCAGCAGCTGGTATGTAAGACTCCAGAATGAGTTGAGATTGTGAAGGGTGTGTGATCTGAACGATCAAGTATGTATACTTCCACTGCTTGTCAACTTTGTCCCTGAACATTTCAGCTGAAACCTTGCCAGCTCCATGTGGCCCCCTGATATGAAAGCTTACCTACGAGTCAATAACCAACTTCAGCTTATGAGATGTAAAACAGAAGAAAAACAACAAACATTCATCATTGAGCATCACAGATTGAGGGATGTAGTGATTACCAGGACATGCTCTACACCATCTTCGTCTGTGTATATCTTGTTTGGAATTCTCTGACGAGCAGCTCTGTTCCGACTTTCCTGACCATAACCCGTAATAGGAGATCCAATCCTCACTCGCACCTGGGAACGAAGGGGGAATATAAGAAGTGAAATGGTCATCAGCTGAAATCACGGTTGTCACGGGATAACAAATCATGTTCTCAAGCTAATTCGTAGATGTAATGAATTTTAGCCCCTTCACCCCACCCAGTCGGCGATAAACAATAAGGTAAATTCTACTAACCTGACCATCATCTTGAATTCTCTTCAAAGCCATGTTAAAGATCTTGTACCTATAATGAAAGGACATGTCAATTTAAATCACAGAAGAAGACATGAACCGGAGGTCCCTGAAAACAGAGATACTTTAGTGCTTACTCTTTTGGTTCAAAGATCAGTTCCTTGAAAACAGCATAACCTGCAGCTGCTGCTAATCCTAGGCCTACTAGGATTACCAAAGTGTAGGAAGCGCCCTCTGTAAATGTAACAGGCTTCTCTGGGATATTGTAGGTGGGAGCATCAAAAGGATCCTCAACTGTGGACACATCTTTTTTGGTCTGACACAGTACAACATTACAATGATCAGTGAATGTTTAACACGGGATTCAGTTGTTCTGCGCTGAAATGGTCTGTCTCACCTCACCAGATTGAAGCAGACATTTCTTGACCATACATATATTACAAGGAAACTAGTTCTACAATACTAACCTCGGACTGTTTCTGCTCAGCTCTCCTAGACATTCTTGATGCAAAGGATCTGGCAGAGAATCGACTACTGCTGTTTGTTGAATTTCTTTGCAGAAGTTGGCATGAACTTCTAAATCCTGCTGTGGAGGATTGTCTGCAATTCCATCTACCATGAAAAACAAGGAGTCCTGCAACACATCGTTGTAGTGAAATTATTTGCTAAACATGAATAACATAGAGAAAAACATTCCCCTTCTGAATCAAAATGGTTGGATATGCATAGCTGCCAAAAGGGTGGAATTCTATAAGATTTGCGCATCCGCGGGTTGTATGGCACTGACAGTTTAAAAAGATAATAATAAAGGACTCGACTCTTGTTTGTAGAGAAACAACTTAAGGGACACAGGCAGGCAGAACTTGGATACAATAGGAGAAGAAAGACACCAACTAGCAGAGGGGGATAATCCACAAGTATGACATGAAGTGACAGTGTAACTTGACTAACCATTTGCTTGACGAGAGTCCAACTGAAAAATCAACAGGAGAGAGAAATCAGCCTGAAGTTCTTGGCCACAGTTTGCGGTTAATGTAAAAAAGGGACTCATTGCGTCACCTGAGCAATATGCGCGGCACCAGCAGTGAAAGGCCTCAGAAACCCCGACTTAGAAGGCATTGGTATCTGCACCACCGTTGGTAAAATGGAAGAAAGCTGAATGTTAGCTTTACATGACCCCAGCTACGATTCTGACAAGATTGAGTAATCGACCATGCTATTGCTATGAAAGGTGGATAGAGCAGTTAAGAAGAACCAGGAGCAGGACAAAAATGAGCTACAGAACTAGCATAAACTCATGACTGAACAAGGTAGGTACCATCTCTAAGAGAAAAACATAAAGAAGCACCATTACTTCTCCTTGATCCTTATACTCTCATCTCATCTTGTTTACAAAGACTGTAAAATGAAAACTAATAGCGGCAAAAACAAAGCAAAAACTAATAGCGGCAAAAACAAGGTAGGTACCATCTCTAAGAGAAAAACATAAAGAAGCACCATTACTTCTCCTTGATCCTTATACTCTCATCTCATCTTGTTTACGCTGAGCTGACGCAAAAACAAAGCAGATACTTGTCTAGGAAAGAAACCTCCATTGAATCGAATCGCTAAACTCGTGAAAAAGACATAATTACAGAAGGTGGAGACTGCCAACGAAACTTGCCCTTATTGTCGGCCGGGAAATTGCAGCTTTCCCTGTAACAAGGGTCGACGATGAAAAACCAACATGAGCTAAGCACTTTTTTGCAGGATTTCGCCCCAGGAGGGAGGACAGCCCATTCCGAGATCTCAAGAGAAGGGCCGATTTCCTCATGCCTTGCATCTCCAAAAATAGGCTAACTGAAAGTGAAATCTTCGGCTAAGCACACCAAACACTCAGCGGCGCGTAGGAGAAGTAGGAAGGAAGGTATCCAAACTAGGAAATCGAATGCGCCCCCGACGATGGTGGAGTGGAGAGGAGAGGAGAGGAGTGAGATGAACCAAAACCCTCAACTCCAACCGCAGGCATAGGACTAGGAGCCACCGAGCCAGGAAGAAGGAGGGGGTTTTCGCTCTGGAGGGCATCTACACAATTGGGAGCCCAGTAAGCAGACCCATAACCAAGGAATGGGCCTAATTTTCAAATGGGCCAGTCTAGCCTTTCTTCACAATGGGAGTCCTGCTGGCGGCGGTTCGGGACGGTGGCGCTGAGTAGCGTTAGCGTAGCAAAACCAGCAGCGAGAGAGAGAGAGTGTGTGTGTGTAAAACTAAAAGCTCAAAAGGCGCTACGCAGCCGGAGGAATTGAAGAAACTGAAGCGGAAGCAGAAGGTTGTTGATTGAGTACAGGCAGCTGCAGCAGCTTCCCTTTCTTTGCTTCGCCAGCCGCCTCTCTGTCCAGACTCCTCAGATAGTTAAGGTAATGTTTGGTGAAGCTATGTGGAAGAAAGAAATTCTTAGCCTGCTTGTTTGGACGAGCCAAAGCTTCTTCTACATTTCGAATTGAATCTTCGTCTTTGTTTCGCTTGTATCCTTTCCATATTCAGATGGCAAGGTGGGATGAGATTCTGTCCCTCCCAGTACAGAACCCTCCCACGCTGGACTTCTCTGCTGGTGACCTTGTTTGGTCCAAGGTGGAAGGTTGGCGCGACAATTTAGACAGGCTTGCGCTTATACCTTATGCTAGGGTGGATGATTTTGTTAGAGGTGAATCTGCCAACAAAGATTGCCCCACTAGATTTCACGTTGAAGCAAGACGGCGTCGGCCTCCACAGGCATCTTGCAAGCAAAAGGTTGATGGCATTCTTGAGTACATACTGTAAGCTCCCACTTCCACTTTCCCTGCTCTTTCTTAGCTGCCCCACTCCAGCATCCTGGCCTTTTATAGCTGTCTTTTTTCTAATCTCACCAGGTATTGGTGTTCATTTGGTCCTGATGATCACCGAAAAGGCGGCATAGTAAGACCAAGTAGGAATACCTATGTTCCAAAGAAGAAAAATGCCGGTCGACCAAATACCAAGAGAGGTTGTACCTGCCACTTTATCGTGAAGCGCTTGATTGCTGAACCAACTGTCGCGCTAGTCATTTATAACCAAGACAAGCATATTGATAAAATGGGTCTCCCATGCCATGGCCCACAGGACAAGAAGGCGGAAGGAACGCGTGCTATGTTTGCACCATACATCTCTGAGGATCTCCGGCTTCGTGTTTGGTCTTTATTGTATGTTGGTGTATCTGTTGAGACCATTATGCAGAGGCACAATGAATCTGTGGAGAAACAAGGTGGCCCTAGCAATCGTGACCATCTCTTAACCCATAGGTATGTCCGAAGGCAGGAACGGAGCATGAGAAGATCAACATACCAACTGGATGAAGATGATGCAGTTAGTATTGGATTATGGGTTGAAAGCCACCAGAGCCATGTGTTCTTTTATGAGGACTTCTCTTATACTGACCCATTAGTGTTGGGGATTCAAACAGAGTGGCAGTTGCAGCAGATGATTCGGTTTGGAAATAAAAGACTTATGGCTTCAGATTCGAGCTTTGGACCAAATAAACTAAAGGTTTGTTTTTATCTTGTTATCCACACTAATCCTCGTGATTTTTGTGTACCAGCGCATTTACATGTCTGAAAAATGAAACTAGAGAAGAATTTGAATACATCAGCAGCTGATTATGTTGTGTTTGCTATGGTTTAGCATCCTGTTCAGACTCTTCTGGTGTTCAACTCAGAAAACAAGGCTATACCAGTAGCTTGGATCATAACACCAAGATTTGCAAGTACTGCACACAAGTGGATGAGGCCACTTTATAATAGAGTCCGTTCGAAGGATCCCAACTGGATGTTAGCTGGCTTTATAGTGGATGATCCGTCGATGGATATCCTTACTATCAGGTTTGTGGATGACTTCTCATTTTAGTTTATGGGGTAGTCTATTTTCGCTTATTACCCTTGTGCACAGTATTTGTTCGAAAGTCCTCTTTTTGTACCATCAATATAACGTTACTCTAGTTTTAGGGTAGCTGGATTATAATAGCATGAAGACTAGTTTCAATGGCCTAACTTCAATGTACAGAGGCTTCTCTTATGGATGTTGACTAGGTCCGTTAGTAACTTTTTTATTAAATGATTTCAGGAGGTTCCAAGGGGTCAAGTAGTTTCTTTTAGTTAACATCTTATTTCTGATAGGGGTGCTATGTCTTAACCTCTGAATCTTCAGGGATGTCTTTCAGTGCTCAGTATTGTTGTCCTTTTGGCGGGTACGGCATTCATGGCATAAGAACCTAGTAAAGAGGTGCACTGAGACAGATCGTGTTCAGATATCACAGCAGCTTGGGCTGATAGTGGACAAGATCCGCACAGGACCCCTAAATATGAATCCATTTGATGCATTCATGGAGGAGTTTGGTGCTTCCTCTGATTTTATCGATTACTTCAAGGCAACCTGGTATCCTAGAATAGGTTTGTCTCCCTCTTTTTGCTTTCTAGTCCTTCAAACATGAAGCATATATTTCTGTATTTCAGCTTACCTTTTGCATTTATATTGATTTTTACCTCATACTTTTACGGATGGTTGATCTGGACCAAATGACTGATAGTAGCTTCTCCGATCTTTCTTTTTCTCTTTTCTGTTCCATTTTACTGGTAAAAGAAGTAAAGCTGGATTGGGTTAGTGTGCCTGCTTATTGATATTAAATTTGTGGAATGTATGAATAAACCTTCAGTTTGATATGTAACAGGACTTTGGACAACTGCACTCAGAACTATTCCACTGGCTAGTCAGGAGACAAGTGCTGCACTGGAGTTTTACCACAATCAACTGAAGGTCAGACTACTTCTGAATGAGAAAGATTCTGATGTCTATCAACGTGCTGACTGGCTGGTCGATAAACTGGGTACAAAAGTCCATTCTTACTTCTGGCTTGATGAATACTCCGAGAAGGACTACTTTGCAAGATACTGGAAAGATGAATGGATCACTGGGTTAACATCTTGGCGGAAAGCATTAAAAATTCCCGACTCTGATGTCATCTTGGAGGAAGGGACATCTTGTGTGAGAGTAATCAACCAAGTAGATCGTGATAAGGTACACCTCGTGAGGAACTCGGGTTCACAATTTGCTCTTTGTGATTGCAAATGGGCAGAGATGGGCAACCTGTGTGAGCATGTATTTAAAGCTAGCAAGTTGATCCTTCAAAAAGAGAATAGGGATCTTTATCCATCTACAACAGTATCTCAGTATATCCAGGCTCTATTGGAAATGCTACATTGCCCTACCAATGATTCTTTGATTCGTGATCATGCTGTCTCCCTCTCGGTCCTTGTGCATAAGAAGTTGGATTCACTTGTTGCTCCAGATAGCCGATCAACTCCCATGGATCAACTGGTCTTGAGCAAGATCCTTCAGAAGAGGATGATGGTTGGGCCAGGTGTTGCAGAGCAATCGAGTAGTGGAAGAGAAACTGGGTGCACTGCAATGGATGTCGATCTATCGTCACCATCACGCTGTATGGGACATTGTGAGGAGACCCGTGATGTGCTTGGAGATGTAAGCTGTAACATTGTCGACGGCAGAATTGAAAGCTTGTGCAATGGCATGGATCTGGACTCATCACCACCCACCAGTACCTCACCTAGGTTGCATTCTTGTGATGAGGCCAGCAACAATGTCAACTCATCAAACAGTAAGGAGATTGCCAGGAGTAACATGAAACCTATTGCAGGTGAAACTTGAGATTCGGAAGTGGATATATCCACTGATGTAATATGTGGGGAACAGGAGGATAGTCCAGTGAATTTGAAACCAGTTTCTGATAACCCTCCAACTACAATTGAACCTACCTACTGTAGTCGCAACGGAAGAAGTGAACTCTTATGAGAAGTTTCCTTCAGCTAATGAACCGTTATTCACTACCGCCGTTACAAAAGGGGATGTTGCTGGAACAGCCAGTCCTCGCATCAAATGAGCGTGATGGAGACGTCAGAATGTGAGCTTGTGAGACTTCTTAGTCTAATTTATGTTTCCATAAGTGGTTGGATTAGGTATCTTCTACATATAGATCAATCCGTTTTTTGGTTGAAAGGATTCTCTGTTCCGATTTGGTATGGATGATGCATGGCGCAGTTACTTGCAGTAACAAGACGGGAATCGTGCTCTTGTAACTATAGTGCCAGGAAATACAATACAATCATGAGAAATTAACATGCCTCGGGACGAGTTACAGTCCTAACTCTATAAGAGTTAGCACCGTAATAACCAATCTAATCACTGTTTATTACTTTTAATCTAAATCTAATGGTGAGGAGTAGTGAGGGGCATATTCGGTATATAGAAAAACAATTAATTTAATAAATAAATTGTTAAATTATTTCTCTTATTTTTAATATAAATTTTAGATGTAAAAATATTATTACTGAAAAATTACTACTACTTAACTTAGTAGTGATTTTGGTGGTTGTAGTAGTAATTTTATATTTTTGTGTAGTGATTTAATTGTTATCAATAGTGGTTTAGAATTTTTAGATTAGTAGTAAGTAGTAGCCGGTGAGTTTTAGATACTAATAATAACACAATCACTACCAATACGAAACTATTAGAAGTGTATTCACAATTACGTGAGAGGAAACCACTACTGAAAAAACCCTACCACACAATCGCTACTATACAATTGCTACACCTGCTATATTTCATTGCTATGGAAAAGAATTACCACATGTATACAAATCTGGAAAAAAATCCAAGACCTATCTTTCTTCTTCATATCTCAAGCGCATCTCACCTTCGTTGGCCACTTCACCCGCCGTCGATTTGAACGGAATCCTCCCTGGAACCAGCCCCCACTGTCGAGGCGGAAGCATATTTGCGGTATGAATGGCCTTGACGGATTCTGATTCGATGAATCTGATGGTGTCGCTCTCGATCTCTCAAAGTCGTCGCCGCTACTTGCCTTTCTATCGCCGCTACTTGCCTTTCTATCGCCATTGATAACTCTTCGTCTTTCGCTGCCGCCTACCTCACCATCGCCATCGACGAACCGC